TCGGTGAATTCAAAGTTGCTGTGTGAGTGCTTTTCGTTGAATTCAATTTGGTGGAGTTCAACTTGGAAGGATTATTTTCAGTTATACTTTACAATGTTAGTGGAAGCTATTTTTGATTCAGGTTTGTGGTCTTTTTCAACTCTATATCGAAAACTTTTGTTCATCTATTTGGTGAGGTCTTTTGTCTTACTTATTTGCGATTATTTGGAATTTGCTTAAGAGTGGTTTATGAGACCATTCGTGTATCGTTTGTAATCGTTTGAAAACTCTTAGTTGATAGTGGAATCGGATTTCGGTCCTGTGGACATACCTCACATTGAGGGAATTACGTAAAAATTCTTGTGTCGTTGTTAATTTAATTTTTTCGTATTAATTTTTATTTCCATTGATTAATTTACTTTTGAAAAATCATCTATTTTTCCTAATAACTGGTATTAGAGCTTACGGTTTATTTGTGTAAATCAATGGAAGGAAATGTAGGTCGTATGTTTAGCTTCAATGGAAACAATTGGGAAACTTAGAAAACCAAAATTGAGGGCTTATTATTTTGTAAAGATTTATATGGGCCTATTGAAGATGATAGCAGCAAACCCGAGGATATAAAAGATGATGAATGAAAGAGACTTAATCGAAAAGTCGTAGGTGTTATCCGTCAATAGATTGATGATAGTGTATTTTATCATGTTGCTATTAAAACCTCGGGACATGATTTATGAAAAAAATTAGAAGGTCTTTATGTTAGAAAATCAGTGACAAATAAAGCTTTTCTATTTCGAAAGTTAGTTAATTTAAAATATAAAGATGGCAATCTCATTATGGAACATTTGAATGAAATAAAGAGTATTGTTAATCAACTTGCTTCTATGAAAATTGTTTTTGATGATGAGTTGAAGGTTCTGATGCTACTTAGTTCGTTGCCCGAAAGTTAGGAGACTTTGGTTGTGACGATTAGTAATTCGGCGCCCGACGGAGTTGTCACAATAAGCCAAGTCACTCATAGTTTGTTGAATGAAAAGACAATAAAAAAATCAACTGGTTCTTCTTATTCAGATGTATTTGTTGTGAGAGGCCGAAGCAAAACAAGAGGGAGAAACAAGACTCCCCATGCTCGTGATCAAAACCGTGACAAATTAAGAAATGGTTATTTTTCAAAGAAAGACATTAAGTGTCATTATTGCCATGAGAAAGGGCACATGAAACGAAAATGTCGAAAGCTTAAGAAAAATGAGAAAATACATGACAAAAGTGTAGATAAGAAGTAAGAGGACATAAAAGTGGTTACTACCGATGGTGATCTCATGGTTATTTGTGAATATGATTGTGTTAATTTTATGGACCAAGAGGGCAATTGGGTGATTGATTCCGGTGTTTCTTTTCATGTGACTTCTTGGGTTGATTTCTTTACTTCCTACACCAAAGGAGATTATAGTTATGTTCGAATGGGTAATAAAGGTTTGTCCAAGATTGTTGGCATGAGTGATGTTTGCTTAAAAACAAATTTGGGCTGCAAGTTATTGCTTAAAGATGTGAGGCATGTTCCCGACATTCGCCTTAATTTGATCTTTACCGGGAAATTAGATAATGAAGGCTACAACAACAAATTTGGTGATGGAAAATGGAAACTCACAAAAGGTTCTTTGGTGATGGCCAAGTGCAAAAGACTCATACACTTTATTTGATGGAAGAAAAAATTTGCAAAGGTGTTGTCAATTCACTTAAGGATGATGCTTAGATCGAATTGTGGCACAAGTGACTTGGGTGCATGAGTGAAAAAGAACTGCAAGTTTTGTTCAAGAAAGAGCTTCTACCTGGTTTGATCATACTTTTTTGTTTGTTATTCACTCTTTTTCATAACCTAAGTGTCACGACCCAAACCCGCCCCTAAGGGTTTAGCATCGTAACCTGCCAGTAATCCGTGATTACCAAAGGCTTGCTTAACAGTAATAACAATAGTACAGAGTAAGGGGCTGGCGGAAGCCAAACAGTAAACAAAAGATGTCTAATGAGCTATGAAAATCTGAATGGAAAAAGACTTTTATGGACAAGCCCACATTCATAACCATAACATATATACATATCGGATACACATAACATACAAGTTAGGGATCCAATCCCTTAACCATAATTGTACAGTCAAAAGTCTTAAACATTCATTACAAACAGAGACAAAAGGGTGAATCTGAAACACTCCAAAACAACCTTGGCTTGAACGGACTTGGAACCTCGAAGTGAGACACAATGGTTGGCTTGACAAAACGTGAGCTTAACTTGACGCTTCTAGCTTCGGTCCGGTGCCTAGCCACCTACATACATATATAAACTGTGAGCTAAAGCCTAGTGAATAACAAATGCGTAATGGGGTCAAGAATGAATGTCCTTTCGGTAATTAAAACAGTCATTTGCATCAGTAGATCAGTTATTCAATCAGTGGCTCATATTTCATGCCATATCAGTCGATTAGAAACCATAGCAGTCATACGTGGTACATCCAATAGCAAGACAGTACAGTAGGTCTTAATAGACCGAACAGTCAGGTGATAGCCATCAAAACAGTAAACAGTAGTAGTTCCAAACATTGGAACTGACAGAGATTTCTGTAACAGTAGTAGTAACAGTACAGTAGCAGTAACAGTAGCAGTAACAGTAACAGTAAGTTGCTATGGATGCCACGAGTACAGTTTACAAATAGGACAAACATTCATTCAGTAAACAATGTCATTTCGAAAAGCAGTACAGTTAATCGTTCAGAAAATAAGTATAATTTAACATAGCTTTATAACATTGTTACTCACAGGTTACTGAGCTATAGACAGGCTAATCAGCATCCTCGAGTGCCAACCCTACACAGTTGCAGAATGAACATACACTAAGTTACACACTTGGGATTAATAACTTAGCCCCTAACTTGACTTGGTGTGGTTCTATAACATTATCCTCATTAAGATGCCTTAAACATTGCCTAAGAATGCCTAGGATGGAATGAGGATGCAAAAATGTACATTAGAACACTTTTCAAAATTTACTGAAAACAGGGGTCTTGCTCGAGCGTAGCTTTATCCGCTCTAGCGAGCTTACCAAAACAGAGGGGTCGCTCGAGCGTAGACTCCCTCGTTCGAGCGGTCTGTAAAAATGCAAAAAGTACTGGTTGCTGAAATTCTTCGCTCGATGCTCGCTTGAGCGTGAGACATAGTTCCTCGCTCGAGCGTAGGTCTCGTCACTCGAGCGTGCGTCTGCACATGCAAAAAACCTGAGAGCTTGCAATCTACGCTTGAGCCAGCATTCCGTCGCTCGAGTGAGAGGCTGAAAACAAAGGTGGTCGCTCGAGCGTGGAAGCCAAAATCTGGGTTTTCCAGATTTGCTTCCAAAGCTCAAACCAAGAATCAAACATGCCAAAACTCATCATTTTGAGCCAATTTTTTGGAAAACACTAAGAAACTCATAATACAAAATGTTTTGAAGATCATTTTATAAAATCAAAGCCCAAAAGTATGTCAATTGAACACAATTCCAATGAAACTTTCATGAACAATGCAAGAACATAACATGCATGAATTTCTAAGAACTCTAATGCTCCAAAGCATGATCAAATGCAAGATTGAGCTCAAAAACATGGTGAATTCTTGGACCACAACTAAAATATGAACATGCATGTAAGAATTTCATGAAAAATAACTTCAAACTCTATGATATGGACATGCATGCATGAATTCACTCTCAAATCAACACTTTGAGTTAATTCTAGACTCTAATCTCCAATTTTCCATGAACCATGCATGAAACAACTTAAATTCATAGTTAAGGGGATGAATTTCCTACCTTAAATCTTGAATTCCAAGTATGGTAGCCTAATTTTGCAAGTCCTCTTCAATTTCTCTAATTTCAAGCAAAATTTCTAGATGAATTCAATTTTCCCCTATTCTCCCTCTCTCTCTCTCGGTTTGGTCTTGAGGAAAAGGTAAAATGATAGTGTCAACATATATGAATCAAGACTAAATAAATGGCCTAGAATTAATCCACTCAATGGCAATTGTGTAATAAATTCAAACTAATGTAATTTAACTTTATTTATTCTAATTTAATCATTCCAAATCAAATTTTAATTATACCTACCATAAAATTCCACAAATCCTAATTAGCATATAACACTAGTCAATTTCTAATTCGATCGCCGATACGGCTTTCAATTCGCAGTTCGAAATCAAAACATGAATAGATCATTTAATGACAAACAAATAGAAATGTAGTTAAAGCAACACACTCATGCAATCAATTCAGGATTTCATCTTAATCAATTGCTTATCAGACTTAATCACAATTTAACGCTAATCAGATGTGAGGGTAGTCACACTAAGTCTTACAAAGAGGCCTGTCAGGATTCTTATTGGGTTCAAGATATGGAGGATGAGTTGTCTACTTTATAGAAAACTAGTACTTGGGAGTTGGTTCATTTGCATGTTGGTAAGAATCTAGTTGGTTGTAAATGGGTCAACAAAATCAAGACTCATAATGATGGTTCTCTTGAGCGCTACAAAGCTCATCTGGTTACCAAAAGTTTCTCACAGAAGTATGGTATTGATTATGAGAAGACTTTTACTCATGTTGCCACTATGACTACTGTTTGTACTTTAATCTCTGTCGCTGCTATTCGTTCTTGACCTCTTTATCAGATGGATGTTAAGAATGCTTTTCTTAATGACCATCTCACTGAGGAGGTTTACATACGTTCTCCCCGCAGCCTTCACCATTCCTTTAGGCAGGTTGGTCGCCTTCGGCGTTCTCTTTATGGTCTGAAGTAGTCTCCTCGTGCTTGGTATGATCGCTTTCAGACTGCTGTTATTGAGCTTAGGTTTCATTCTTGTGCCCAAGACTCTGCTTTATTTCTTCTCCACACCTCTACTGGGTTTGTTGCGTTATTATTGTATGTGGATAATGTGATCATCACTGATTCTGACTCTTTTGCTATATCTGAGGTCAAGCAGCATCTTTTTCGCACCTTTGAAATGAAGGATTTGGGCCCATCGCGGTATTGTCTTGGTATTGAGGTAGTTTCTTCTCCCAAAGGCTACTTTTTATCTCATGCCAAGTATGCCAATGAGGTTATTCATCGTGCCAGTCTCACTAACACTAAGATTTCTAATACCTCCGTTGAGCTTAATGTAAAGCGCAACACTACTGATGGTGTTCTTCTGGATAATCCTACTTTGTATCAAGAGCTCGTGGGTTGCTTAGTCTATCTGACGGTTACTCGTCTTGATCTTGCCTATGTTGTTCATGTGGTTAACTAGTTTGTCTTTGCTCCTCACTTTACACATTGGGCTGCATTGGTTCAGATTCTGCGCTATCTCCGAGGTACTATATTTTAGGATTTACTATTGTCATCTACTTCCTTTCTGGATTTGGTGGCCTATGTTGATTCTAATTGGACTGGTGATGTTATTGATCGTAAGTCCACGTCTGGTTTCTGTATGTTTCTTGGCGATTCCTTGATCTCTTGGAAAAACAAGAAACAAACTGTTGTTGCTCGCTCTACTGCCAAAGTTGAGTATCATGCTATGGCTCATGCAACTGCTGAAGTTGTCTGGCTTCATTGTCTTCTCTCTGACTTGGGCATCCCTCAGTCTTCTCCAACCTCCCTCTATTGTGACAATCACAGTGCTATTCAAATTGCCCATAACACTGTCTTCTATGAGCAAACCAAGCACATTGAGATTGATTGTCACTTCGTTCGTCAGCACCTGCAGTCTGGCTCTATCTCTCTTCCTTTTCGTCTCTTCGGCTCTGCAACTTGTTGACTTCTTTACCAAGACTCACACCACTGCCCGGTTTCAATTTCTTCTTGGCAAACTCTCAGTGTTTTCTGCTAAAATACCTTGAGTTTGAGCAGGAGTGTGAGAATATTGTGTATATATGTATATATGGTAGTGTAGTGAGATTGTGATTCATTTCCTTTTTAGTCTTAGGGTTAGGAATACTATATAATCAAATGTATCCTTTGTATTTTTTTATCAATTGAATATATAGTTTCATTCAGAAAACTTACAAGGTATACATCTTAAAACTTATGTTTATTGTTTGGTGTGCAAACAACATAGAGTTTCTTTTCATAAAAATGTTGCTTATAGAAAAGAAAATGTTTTGGAGCCAATTCATTCAGATGTTTGTGATCCTTTAAAAGTTAGAACACATAGTGGTGTACTTTATTTTGTTACTTTCATTGATGATTATTCAAGGAAAGTTTAGGCTTTTGCACTAAAAACTAAAGATCAAGTTCTTAATATGTTTAAGCATTTTCAGGCCATAGTTGAAAGAGAAATGGAGTGGAAATTAAAATACATTCGAGGCGAAAATTGAAGTGCATCCAAACGGACAATGGTGGTGAATACATTAGGCCATTTGATAAGTATTGTCGTAGCTAAGGTATTCGACATCAAAGGACAGTTAAGAAGACTCCTCAACAAAATGGTATTGCCGAAAGGATAAACCGCACCAGTGTGGAAAAAATAAGGTGTCTACTTTCACATGCTAAATTGCCAAAATCCTTTTAGGGTGAGGCAATGAAGATAGTGATTAACATGATCAATTTGTCTCATTCCTATCCTTTGAATGGTGATGGTCCCGAAAGAGTTTGGACCAACAAAGATGTGTCTTATGAGTATTGAGAGTGTTTGGTTTCCGAACCTTTGTTCACATTCCAAAGGATGAGAGGTCCAAGCTTAATAGCAAGGCAAGACAACACATTTTTCTTGGCTATAGGCGTGATGAATTTGGTTATAGATTGTAGAATCCAGTGGACAGAAAATTATTCGAAGTCGTGATGTTATGTTTCTTGAAGACCAAACAATTGAAAACTTTGGCAAAAGTGATCAACTGGAGCCAAAAACTAGTGATCTCATTGATATTAATCAATCTCCATCATCTTCAGTGGATGATGGAAATGAGGGAGATGTGCAGCTGTGACGCCCCCAAAATAATACAATAATAATAACTCATATGCGAAATAAATATGAGAAACAACATACTTTCATATATCAGAGTTCACTGTTTAACAACCGGTTAAATGCCATGTAGGCTTACATCTTTCCAAGTCATTGCTTGGTTACACAAATAGAGTCTCGCTCATTACAACTTAAGCCCTTGGCTTTACAAATAACAAACATACACACATAAAGCATAAATAAGAAGCTCTTGCTTCCCGAAAGTCCATCCACCTTATTACCTTGGAGAAAACACCTCATCTGCACCTGAAAATGATATTCCCGTATAGGGTGAGCCAACAGCCCAGTAAAGATAATCTAACGCAATATATGAAGTTTAGCAAATGTATAAATACCACGTACATAAACAATACCGATACTAAAACATCCACATGGCCTGCATATTCATATGCCATTAAGACCTAACCTCTTTCCATTTTTCTTCAATTCATTTCCAATTCATATATATATTACCCAATTCGTGAGTTAAATTCATTATCCTTCAACAACCAAAATGAGGCTACAACTCAATGGTTTTCCAACTATGCAAAATACACATAAACACTTCAAACCTTGCCATTTTACCGATATTTTGTCCGAATGAACCGGCACCCATTTATATATGAAATTTCGGGTCTTTCACCCAGGACACTCTGGCCACTTGTTTAAAATGGAGTCCATCCCCTTTCTCCTCCCAAACAAATATACATGTGCAATGTATTTATAAACATAATCACATATGGAGTACATCTCTTTCTCCTTACAACAAACATACATTTATAATGTATTTATAACATAGTCATACATGGAGTACATCCCCTTTCTCCTCCCAATAAACATACATATACAATGTATTTATAGCATGGTCATATTCAATGACACCAATTGTGATAACCCTGTTCCGTATTATGCTAATTGGTCCCTATTATGAATGTGATTATGTGTTTGATATGATTTTATGTGCCACTTATGTGAAAATATGTGGTTTTGAATTTCTATCTGTTCACTGTAGGAATATCTGTTTGATTATCTGCTTTGGAAATTAAATTGAAGGCCTTATCGGCCACGAAATCCGAAATTGACTACGCCATTGTGATTAGCGTAAATTTTAGAGCCTACGGTGGAATTTAATTAGAAATTGATTCGGATCAGAATAATTAGATTCAGAACGATTAATTAAGTGCCCAATTATTTAATATTGATATTTTTTATTAGTGGGACTTACCTTAAGGGCACTATACACTCAATATCTCTCTTTTATTTCATTTGACTGATTTTGGGCTCCTTAGAGAGTGAGAGAACCGAATTAGAGAGAGAGAGAGAGTGTAGGAGATTGAAGATTTCTCAAGAAGCTTGAAGATTTTGGAGTGTAACTCAAGAATTAAGCATAACTTTGGAAGATTAAAGCTCCTAGGTGAGTAATCAACCCTTAATTCATGAGTTTAATGTTGTGATTTTGTGAATTCAAGTTGGTTGGTGATCAAGAAATGTGTGCATGTATGTAGAGAATTGCTATGAAATTGCATAATCTAGCATGTAATATGTGAATCGTGAAGAATTGAGCATTGGAGCATACATGCAAACATGGTTTTATTAATTTTCATGTTTATGAGCATCATTGGTGCTATTTGAAAGGGAAATGAGGTCAAAAATGGACATGCATGTTGATTTATGGAAGATATGAAGCCTATGTAAAGTTTGAATGTATGAACCTTGAGTTTACAAAGAAATGTTGATTAATTTGGAAGAATTGGGCCATGATTTTGAGCAATTGACCCCACCTTGCTTATATACTCATGTTATATAATGTGTTTGCATGCTTTGGAACCAAATTTATGGGTTTTGAACCTTGGAAGGTCGAAATTGAGCTCAAGAACAATTCTGGGTTTTTCCAGAATTTATGATGTCCGCTCGAGCGTGAAAATCACCGCTCGAGCGGGGAATACGTGCTCCTAGAACTTTTTACAGACATGGCGTCCGCTCGAGCGAGGAAGTTCACGCTCGAGCGAGGAGCTATGTAGGATGACCTTCTGCTCGAGCGTCCGAGTTCGCGCTCCAGCGTAGAATTGATGTAACCAAAACTTTTGCAGACCTATTGGGTCCGCTCGAGCAGGGAAGTCCATGCTAGAGCGGGGACCCTGTTTTTGAAAATTTCGAAAGTGCGTTCTATGTTTCGTTTTCCGTTCCCTTTCACTTCTAAGTACTCTTAGGCATGCTTTAAACATTGTAAATGAGATAAGAAGATAAGAATGAAGCCTAAAGAGGAAAATGTGAATTTAGAACGGATTGAATTGTTTGTGACCCTTTGTGTTCATAGAATGTGTAGGGTCGAGCTCTAGAGCAAACCAACCAACCGATCACTGTGAGTAATATCTTAACAAAGATATATGAAATATGTTGTTGTCCAAATTACTTACTTCTATGTAAGTTTTATAAGTTCATTGATTCGATTGGTGGACAATGTTGCTATGCCAAATAAATGGGCCAGAGGCCAGTTTGATCTGAAAGAATAAATGGATGGGCCAGAGGTCGTTTTGACATGAATGAATGGGCTAGAGGCCGTTTTGACATGAATGAATGGACCAAAGGCCGTTTCGACACGAATGAATGAATGGGCCAGAGACTATTTTGACAAGAATAAATGGATAGGCCAAAGGCCGTTTTGACATGGATGAATGAATGGGCCAGAGGCCGTTTTAACAAGAATGAATTGATGGGCCAGAGGCCGTTTTGACATGAATGAATGGGCCAGAGGCCGTTTTGACATGAATGAATGGGCCAGAGGCCGTTTTGACATGAATGAATGGGCCAAAGGCCGTTTTGACAAGAATGAATGGATGGGCCAGAGGCCGTTTTGACATGAATGAATGGGCCAGAGGCCGTTTTGACACGAATGAATGGGCCAAAGGCCATTTTGACACGAATGAATGAATGGACCAGAGGCCGTTTCGACATGAATAAATGAATGGGCCAGAGGCCAGTTTGATCTGAATGATAGAGTGAATGGGCCAAAGGCCATTTTGACACGAATGAATGAATGGGCCGGAGGCCGTTTCGACATGAATAAATGAATGGGCCAACGGCCAGTTTGATACGAATAAATGAAAATATGAATTGGGCCCAAGGCCGTTTGAAGCATGTTGTTCTACATACCGTTTGTATAACTCTTTTATTTGATATTATTCACTGGGTTTTCGCTCACGCTCATTCATGTGTTTGTAGGTGAGCCAAGAAAAGTCCAAACCCAGCCCCAGTGAAGTCTGTGAGGAACAACAAGGGTTTTGAAGAGTCAACCCTTGCGTCTCATGCACGAGACCCATCTTCGCCTTTTTGTCATTCTGTTTTATTTTGGTCATGTAGGCGAAGTCTCTGAATATGTTGTATATAGTTTTCTTGGGTTGACTTAGACTTATATGATCCTGTATGTACAGAACCTTGTGTAGTACATATTTTGCTGTGAGTTATTAACATCCATATATATCGTTTGTTATGATGTGCCATGTAAGCACAGCTCTATGGACAAAGTTTTAAATTGCTTTCGTCTGGCCCCATTAACTCTATTAAAATACGTTTGGTTTGGTTTGAGGCCATAGGTAATCCCATGATTACTGGCCGGTTATGTCCTTAACCCACGGAGGCAGCTTCGGGTCATGACACCAACAATGAATTAGCATTAAATCGCCTAATCCTCATGCAATTTCTACAGCAATCATAACTATTCTCTACCGATAGCCCAACACAATTATTTCTAAGAGATGTCCAATCTCAAAATAAATAATTTATTCAAAACTTCCATAGGTGAGATATTACATATCCAA